ATCCAACTCATACTGAAGGCTTGAGCCAGAGACAAAACTGATATCTAATATCACACACACACATGCACACAGAAAGTCTGAGCAACAAGCAGCTATTAGGCCAGGAGAGAGGCCTCAGAATCACACTGACCTTTTTACAGCCGCTGTTTAATCAATATTTAATCATGATTTCCCCTTGGCTGCACAAACAGAACAAGTCCAGCCCAGTGTTCTCACTGAGCTGCACGCACAGCAGCTTGGAGCTGTGCACAACAAACATCTTGCCTACATACAGTATAAGCAAATAACTGACCCTCTCTCCTACACAGTGTCAATTTCTTCGTGGGTTTGGAAAGGCTTCGTGTCAAATGTAAAACAATGTTTTTTTTTGGTAAAACTGCCAAGCAGAGAGCTGTCATCACGTTCTTTATTTCAAATGAGACACTGATTGAGTCACACACAGCGACTGAAATAATCATATCATACATCTTGAAGTGTGTGCAGTGAGTTACCTGCAGTCTGGCCAGCTGAGTGATCCTGGCCACTATCTTGTTGTATGGATCAACAATCTTTGTCCTTATCCTGGAGAGACAAGCACGGTTAGACCAACGCGCATCACACACATCTTCCAAAGTCGACACCAAATATTCTGAACACGTGACGGTACTTGCTATTTTCAATGACATCTTCTTTGGTTTCTTTGGACAATGATAAGAACATGGAAGGTGCCAACATGTCTGCTGAAACTTGCAGGGGTTTAAAAAAAAAAAAAGTGTCACATGTAAAGGTGCTTTTTGCATTTGAGTTGATGATCAGGGACATCCAAAAGCCAAAATGCAAGTTGTAATACTATGTTTTGGAAATCAAATATGGAAATATATTAACTCCAGAGATTAGTTTTCAACTTTAAGTTCTGGTCTGAGAATTGCATAACTAATGTTGTATTTGTACAAACGACCAAACTTATGGTGACATGACATCCCTGTTCACGAAGGGCAGTTTGTATATTTAGACCAACAGCTGATCTTGAGCTCAGACACGTGGTGGGGGGCCGTGGTAAATAAGCAGTGATGCAGGAGGTGGAGCTGGTACTGATTTTCTTTCATACTCAAACTGGCATGGGCCTTCATTCAACTATGCCAGTTTTGTTTCATCCTTACACCTTTGTTTGTTCAACATGTAGCCCTCAAGCAGTGCCAAAATGTTGTTCCAGGAACTTGTTTTAAAATAGGCAGGTACACAGTGCAAACAAGCCGACTAAAATAAGACACCTTAAGGGGTCGGTATCTACTCGTGTTTTTTTCAGTCAAAAAAAAAAAAAAAAATTAGTTACTGCTCATATAAGAAGTGTGAGCAACAGGAGTGATAACGTATTTTTAAAATTCATGTACTTCAAGACCATGCATTCTTATCCAAAATTGTTTAAGGCTAAAGTCAATTATAGAATTCCCAAACTCCAAGGGCAGAAAGCAGAGGTACACTGGTCATAAACATGAATGTGTGTATAAATGTGAAGCAGCTGACATAAAAGCCAGTCATATCCACGTGAATGCTCTGGCACTGACACCATCTGATCAAATGAAAACACATTTACCTGTCGACAGCAGCCTGCAGAGCACTAATCCTCGTCTGCATCATCTGAAGAACCCCTGAAAACAACAACATTTGTCTCCATCAGTATTTTTGATTTTGATTTGAAGAGCTTCTTTGCTAACAGGCTCAGGAGGAATGCTGGCTCTCTCTGGTGGCAAAACCCAAGAATTGCAAAGGTTAAACAGTCGAAAAAAAAAACAGGTCAATGATCTTGCATGTAGCTCTGCAAAGATCTACAGTTATTCTTGGTTTGCAGCACTGTTGAAAGAGCAGACTGATTTAAAAAGCCTGCAGGGGACAGGAGGCTGAGTACGGATGTGTGATGATGTGACATCAACCACCTTCAGCTCAACATCACAAAAACTAAGGAGTTGGTGGTGAACTTCAGGAGGTACAGCACCACTCAGAACCCAGTCGCTATCAGGGGCAGGCAAGTGGATGCTGTCAAGGATTACAGGTACCTCAGGATGGACTTGACTAAAAACATGGAGGTTCTGTACAAGAAAGGTCACAGCCACCTGTTTGTTTCTCAGGAGAATGAGATCGTTCAACATCTGCAGAACCCTGCTGCTGTTATATTACATATTACCCCAGCATCATCGGCAGTAGCACTTCTTACTGCTGTATTCCTTACTTTAGCCTACTTATTTATCTTAGTAATGTATCATCGTTTTATTATATATTTTATATATTTTAGGCACTTTGGTTTTTGTTTTTTTTTGGTTTTTTGGTTTTTTATCTGGCATAAGAACTTCCTTCGGCTTAATAAAGTTTTATCTCATCTCATCTTAAATCGCATCTGCAAACGTTGATATTGAATTTATGTTAGCATATGGACAGTAGCTCTTTACCTTCAAGAGACTCTATCCCAGTGGCCTGAGCCAGTAAGTCTTCATGTCTGGCCACAACCTGAAAATAAATGGATGCAGTATAAATATATGGTGGAGGCTCCTACTACAGTTAGCACAATGTTCACCACATGACATGATGTTAAGCTAGCTTCAAGTTTCTGCTTGATTTCCACACAATAATTAAATAAGCTGAAACAAATAGCTGCTCAGAGGGTGAAAAATCAATCCAATCATATGATGTGCAGTAGAAAGTGTCCAGCAGTAACCGATGCATACGTGATTTACAGATTTATGTGTTCATCATATCTAAATCACTAAATCACACCAATTCCCAAATTCTGTACAACTTACAACGTCTAAGTGACTTATCTTAAACATGCACTGCTTCACATAATGATCTCTTTTCTCTGTATTGTGCACATGCTAACTTGTAAAACGCTTGTTAGAATCACTATTAAGAGCACGCATGGCGGATAAACTAGCATTCTTGTGGAGAAATCAGATTTCTTGTTTGCATGACCGTTTACAACTCAGTCAAGTGTAAAAAGGTGGCAGCAACCGGGTCACTTGAGTGCTTGTGCAGTCGGGTGGCTGTGCTGCGGTGTGCTGGTTGGTACCTGGCTGTGCAGCTCTTTGTCCAGCTGACTGATGCCCTGCGCCAGCTTGGCCAGCTGCTCAGCGATGACAGCATGGTGAATAGCCTGAGCAGTGTACGTCTTTACATCAAAGTCCTCTGCCAGGAAATCAGCATAGCAATCTGCAAACACAGCAGCATGTCTTCAAAACATTCGCTTTTGTATCAGGTCCTATCATTTCCAAATATTAGGCTGCTGGTATATTGCAACCAAGACAAAAGCAGAAACTTTCTCGTCCAGTTCTTCGATGAAGTCGTCTGCATATTCTCCATATTGTTCTCTGCCTTTCAACAGCAGATGAACCAGGCTTCCCTGGACCACAGCACTGAGGACCCGGACACTGTCTGAGGTGCCTCTGTACCATCCAGGTCCTCAGTGCTGTGATCCAGATGAGCCAGGCTTCCCTGAATCACAGCACTGAGGACCCGGACACTGTCTGAAGTGCCTCTGTACCGTGCTTGCTGTGCTCCAGTGACTTATTGTCAGTAATAACACACAGTTTGACAGAAAATAACCGGTGTAATTACGACAGGACACATAAGCAGAACAAAACGTATTCCTGTGCCTACAAGTGTCACCTATAAGGATAAAAACGTGGTTGTAAAGAAGAAGAAGAAACAGTAACAGTAAAGGAAGAAGAGGATGGGAGCTGTGACTAGTGTAGCTTGTTAGCTAGTGAGGAAAGCTGCTTAGCATGGAGCAGTGCTGCTGGACGAGCGCTGAGACTCCACAGGCCTGTTAACAAGATGTTTCACTGCGATCAAAACCGACATTAAAATCCAACATGCACCGTTTCTGCTGTTCATAAGGTGTATTTTTACCATCTTTCAAAAGTGAATTCGTGGAAGCTTCTCTGCCGTCCTCCATGTTGACACTTCCGCATGTGACGTGTAAACACAGCGCGCGCCTTAAAGGGCTACACACAGAGAACCTCCTGCGCGTGAAGCCCCGCAGATGTCAAGTCATTCATACGCTGGTGGCTGCAGCATCACTGGTGTAGTCGACTACTGGCTCTTATTTAAACATACAGAATAAAAAACCAAACTGTTTAGTCTCTTTGTATTGCAATCAGGACTCAACAACAGTGAATTCATCTTTAATTAATGAGATTTTTTTTCTTTTGTTTTCAAAGTACTCCTTACATCCAGCTCTGTTTCTGATGACAGGCTCAATCCTTTTCAGCATCTCTGAAGAGATATTCTGTCATTCTGTCGAGATTTTTTTTCAGCAGTTTTTGCTGAAGCACTTGTGTTGGTCCACATTTAAAATAACCCAAATGTGTTGTGTTGGGTTTTAGTCATGTGACATTCCTAGCCAGGTCATAGTTTTTACCTTTTTAGTTTTTAGAAATTCTCGTGTGATTCTGATAGCCTTATCTGAGAAGAACAGAGTTCTGGAGTTTTAAAGGGATTGTCAAAATGTAACTTAGAAAATATATTAATATAACATCCATCCATCCATCCATCATCTCTCCACCTTAACCCTCACTAGGGTCATGGGGGGCTGGAGTCTATCCCAGCTGACTCAGGGTGAAGGCAGGTTCACCTGGACAGGTAACCAGTCTATCACAGGACTACACTTAGAGACAGACAACCAAGCACACTCACATTCACACCTACGGACAATTTACAATCACCAATTAACCTCAGCATGTTTCTGGACTGTGGGAGGAAGCCGGAGAACCCGGAGAGAACCAACGTTGCACGGGGAGAACATGGAGACTCCACGCAGGAAGATCCCGGGTGTCCTCACCGGGTCGCCAACCGCCGACCTTCTTGCTGTGAAGCAACAGTGCTAACCACCCAGCTTCAAAGCTCACCTTTGTTTATTTATATTTTGCATACATTTTCTTTAAAAAATAACTTGTGATGCCCAACCAGTCAGACAGAGCTGTGTGGGACCATAGACTGACTACAAACAGAGAGAGAGCCGTATCAGTCAGAACATTTTGGAATTATTTTATTGGTAATCTGTCAGGGGAAAAAAACAAAAAAAACACTGAATGTCACAAATCAGAAAAATGCTGCATATTTGAGCCGATAATCAGTTGACCCCTAATGAGTAGCAGCGTTAAGGCTTTGAACAGCAGCTGTTGTTTGTGGCTGATGTGTTTTGTGTCTGTTATTGCAAAATAAAACTTGACTATGTACCATAGTGTGTGTACCGATATCTGTCATAGGCCTGTATGGCATCACAAATGTCATAAGACTGTTGTCCAAGTATGTCCTAAGGAATATTCCCTATAAAAGAATGTACAGTACTACCATTAAACACAGCTAAAGGAAGTCTGGTACTACACTGAGTTTCAGCAGATACTGTGGTGTTTTATGAGCTGTGCTACATGCAGTGGTACCACAGTATCTACAACGTGCCACAGTAGACCTGCATGTACAAGTGTTCAGTCAGAAATGAATTTTACTCTATCCGGTATAAAGACAACATTTGAACATCAAACTTAACAGACATCAAAGTGGCAACAGATCATACAGCATCAAACATTACATGGCTGAAATCTGATGGGACTAACACAGGAATTATGTTAACACTCACTTCTGTGTGACACCTGCAACTCTTTTTTTGTAGTTTGAGAAAACAGACTGGTCACAATCATGTGTCGTTAACACGTTACATTAAATTGTAGTGGGTTTGTTGAAAACCTTTCAAAACTATATCAAAGGTTAGAATTAAATTCAGTCCCTTAAGTTGTTTTTACAATTTCTCTCACTGCAACCAGGAGCACAGACTATCTTTGTACCTTGTTATTGATGGCCAGTAAGGTGAGACTATGATTTAGACTTTTGGTGCACTGTAAAAGAAAAAAACAAAAAACATTTGAACATTACAGTATTTCATATCTTTTTTTATATATTTTTCTTCTGACCCTCTTGCTCAGTTTTTTTGTTATTGTACAGTGTGCCACTACTAACGAGTTTTGAATACATGCAAAGGTAATCAAATAATGAGTCTAATTTGTGTGGCGTGGATGCAGGAGGATCATGGGTGCAGTGTTTATGCCACCATTATCACAGCAGGGACTGAAGTATGGGCAGAGACTCTCGGTGAAGTTGCAGCCAACAAAGGAGTAGATGAGAGCTGCTGCATCCACATCATAAAAGGAAACTAGACCCTCCTCATGGTCCACGAACACCCCCACCTTCTCAGGCTGTGACCTCAGAGACAGAAGGATACCTGGACCAGCAAGAGCTTTGTACTGATTTCCATTTCTCAACCATATCGTCCAGAAGCCATTGTTAGGGGACAATCGGATTTTCCCCCTCCTGCTGATGGACTCTCTGACCACTCCTAAATCCCACTCAGTCTTCCCTCTGACTTGAACTTCAAAGTAAAATCTGCCTGAAGAGAACGTCTGCTTTCCTAAGACACCATTGCAGACGGAAAATCTCTTTGGGTTATCTGGCACAGGCTGTTGAATTTCACCACACTGAACTTGTTTCCCATCCTCAGACAGCGTGAGATAGGGACTTGCAGTGTCGGGATCCAGAGTCACATCCACTGCAAACTGCTGGACTCTCTTCAGCTCCACTTCAGCACAGAGTTTCTTTATCTGTTCACTGAGCGTCTCTTCCAGCTGAGCCACAGCTCTCCTCACAGTCCCCTCATATGAAGAGTGAACTCTGACCTCCGTCCAGTCTTTGGTGGGAGGAGCAGCGTTCAGGGACAGGAAGCTTTGGAGGAAGAGGAGCTGGTCTTCAGTGTGTGAAAGCTGCTCCACCTCAGAGCTTCTCTTCATCAGCTCACAGATTTCCTCTTCCAGCTCCTTGATGAAGCCTTCAGCCTGCTCCTCGATGCTTTTCTGCTTCTCTTCGATCATGTGGGTGAGCTGAGCCAGACCTCTCTCTACAGACTGGATCAGAGCAGTGAAGACCTGCACACTGGCTGCTGTCTCTCTGTCTGCCTCCTCCTTACTGAGCTTCACTGACTCTCTGATCTGATCCATCTTCAGTCGTCTCTCCTCAATCATCTGCTGTATTCCAGCTTCTGTCTTCTGCAGCTCAGCTTTCTGTCGCTGATACTCTTTAATCAGAGGAATAGTAGCATGCCTCTTGTGGTCTGACTCAGTGCAGAACTGACAAACACACACCTGATCAGTCTGACAGAACAGCTCCAGAGGTCTGTCATGCTTCTTACACAGTCTGTCTTCCAGGTTCTTCACTGGACCCATCAGCTGATGTCTTTTCAGACCTGGAACTCTGTGATGAGGCTCCAGATGAGTCTCACAGTAGGAGGTCAGACACACCAGGCAGGACTTCACAGCCTTCAGTCTGGTGTCAGTGCAGACGTCACACAGAACTTCTGCTGTTTTTGCAGCCTGTTGCTCTGAGCTGCTGCTGGCTTCCTGTACAGCTGACTGTCTGAACTGATCGGCCATAACAGATATGAAAGTGTTGACCCGCAGCTCAGGTCTTCTGTCAAAGACATCTGCACACATGGGACACTTGTTCTGGACATTGACAGTCCAGTGTTGTGTGATGCAGTTCTTGCAGAAGTTGTGTCCACATGGAATGGTGACTGGATCAGTGAACACATCCAGACAGATGGAGCACAGGAACTGATCTTCAGATACCAGACTGCAGGCAGCTGCCATGTCTAAGAACAAAACCAAAGGAGGTGGCATCAGAACTATGAGACATATATATTTCTGTAGGAAGGTGAAGCTATGAAGAAAAATGTGTATTAAAGTTATGAGTTAAGCACATAAATAAAAGCACCATGATGACTGTTTTCTATTCAATTCAATTCAATTCAGTTTTATTTGTATAGCGCATATTTACAACAACAAGTCATCTCATAGCGCTTAACAAAGGCAGAGACAGAAACACCCAACAATCCAAAACATCTGGATTCCCTATAAGCTTCAGCAGTCCACAACAGTGGGAAGGAACCGAAAACCCCCACAGGGGAAAAAAAACCTCTGACAGAACCAGGCTCAGGGAGGGACGGCCATCTGCCTCCACCGGTTGGGTGGATGTAGAATGAATTATACAATGTAGTTTACAGTTAAAAAAGTTATTAGAATTATTACTGGTAGTAACAACAGTTGTATTGATTAATTGTTGGATGTGTAAATGTTTTTTAATTTTTTGCAATTCTTAGACAAACTCTTCTCCAAAACAGAGATTATTATACTGCAGTGCTAGTGGGAGTGTCCACCTGTTGCATGTGTCCTGCATGAGCCGGGGTGACGCAAACACAACACAGACTAAGGAAACCCATCAGAGGCTGGAGCTGTCATGACCCCCCAGCCTCAGCTCCAGGCCTTGCATGTCTCCCTCTCTTCTCCCTCCCCTCTGTCTGTCTCTCGCTCTCTGTCCCTGTGCATCTCAGCACTAATCAGGAACATCACCCTCAGCTGCTACTCCGGACTCACCTGCACACAATCACCACAGCTACTATAAAGACTCATTTCATTTCATGCTTATTCCACCTCATGCTGCCAGATCATAGCCATTCCTCCTGCTTGTTTCTGTCAGTCTCTGTCTCCAGCCTGCATTCATGCAGCCAGCTTTCTCCTGCCACCGGTTTCACCCTGGATTCTCTGAGCCTGTTTGCCCCCTCTGTTTTGTCCCCTTTGTGAGTACCCCCGTTTGTTTGAGCAACTTCATTTGTTATCTTGGTATTCGTTATGTTTTTTTCCCCTCAGTTCTTAGTTTGGAGTTTCTCCCTGTTTTTTATAGTTTTGTCCTTTTGCTGTATTTAGTTTGGTTTATCCCGTTCTGTTATCCACTCAGTTTAGTTTGCACTTTTATACTTGCTGTCAGTTTTACTTCTCGTTTATTAAATCCGTTTACACTTAACTTGCCCGTCTGCCTTATCTGTGTCCACACCAGGGTTCCCCGATTCCCCCCTCGTGACAGGAGCAAGATACAAAACCTAACAGAGCAAAAATATAAACCTGAAAACAAACTTAACCACAAGTTAACTCAGCTGAAAGGTTAATATCAGCATGTTGTCATGTTTATATCATGCATATCAAATATTAGACAATACTACTAAAACTAGACAGACCTAGTCCTGTTTGATTTTTCAGAGTCAGGGTGCCTTTACTGGCAGTTTGAATGCCCTCAGCACAAACAGATGTCTCCCAGAAACTCTTTCAATATGACAGAAAACCAACAAAACTCCCTTATTTGGTGCACATAATATTACAATTATAATCATCTGTTCTACTCACCAGTGTTTCTCAGACGTAGTCTTGACTAACACAACACAAAAATCAAAGTTGCATTCTGAGGGAGAGAAGCAGACGTTGCTGCTCTTCAGCAATGGCTTTCTTTCACTTTCATTTCCTGACCGTGGCAGTAAAACACTTCTGTTCTCTGATGCTCCTCCTCTCTCTGCACTCACATTCTCTGCTGATCCAAAGTCCGCTTCTGAGCACAATTAAAATGTCATCAGTTACCAAAACATGTTCAGACAATTTTTAAAAAAAAAACTGCTTTCACCATCCTTACTGTTGAGATCATGTTGATGTTAGTGGTTTAGAGATATGCTGACTTGGTTTCACCAGGCAAGGTTCAGGAAACACTGTCACTGCAGCGGCACCAAGTGGACCCTTCCATGTCGAACCACAGGCTCAGACTGTGTCCTGTAACTGAAGTAATGTGTCACAGACATAAACTGTTTATAACATATAATAAACATGTCAGTGTAATAAAAGAGCACACTGTTACTGAGTTGCCTATAATAAGACACAACATGTTTAAGAGCCCGACTAGAGAAAATCCAGTCTTTAACAGAGTTCACACGTCCACATGGTGTAAACTATGTAAACAACAACTTCACTGGTTGGAGGAGTCAAACGACCACAAGGACACATTTATGGCTTGAATTTATTTAAGATTAAAAGTAAAGCATGAACTGATTTTCTGTCAACTCCGGACTGACCACAGAAACATGCTGAGAGAGCAATGGGATTCTGCAGAGGGGGGATGTGCTGCATAAGAAGAAACAGATTATTTGAACTGCATTCACAATGTTGCTTTGGCCAGATGGCGGCACATGTACGTGCAGCGGCTCAGCACTCCAGCGATTGGTGCTCTTTAATTAGTTTACTGCTTGTTTTCTTCCTACTGAGTACCAGACATGCTCAGGCATACGTAAAGTACGATACTTGAACATTTAACTGTCCTGTTGTGTTGGCCTGGGTACATCTGGTACTGATGTGAGTGTGTGATGTTTTAGAGTGTTGTGTGAATCAGTGATTTGATTTTGTTGTGTGAGGGATGTACATTGTTTTATTGTCATTGTTATTTATTCTCTTTTTTGAGTCCGTGTCCTGACTGTGCACCTTAATTCTGTTGTACACCTGTGTATAATGACAATAACGTATCTTGGATGAAAAATTAAAGGAATAAATGAAAGGAGAGATAATTCAAACACATATAATTTACTGGCTTCAGCCACAAAATCTCAAACCAATACAGGGCTTCAGGAGGGATGTGTTTGCTCTTCAGCACCGTCACTAAAACATATGATTTCAATGGTTTATCTTCTAGCTGACATCCTCTACCGTGTGTCTCACAGGAGAGACGATAGAGCTTTTACCGCTGTCACTATAACAGGGACTGAAGCTGGAGTAGAGGTTTTCAGTGAACTTACAGCCATTCAAGGAGACCGGACTCTGCTGTCTCTCTGTCTGCAGCTTTCTTCCTGAAGTTCACTGACCATCTGATCTGCTTCATCTTCAGTTGTCTCTTCTCAATCATCTGCTGAAGTTCTGCCTGTTTTTCTCCCAGCTCAGTCTTCTTTCCATTCATATTCTTCTGTCAAACAAATAACATAAAGAAGACCTGGAACTCTGTGATGAGGCTCCAGGTGAGTCTCACAGTAGGAGGTCTGTCATGACCCCCCAGCCTCAGCTCCAGCCCTTGCCTGTCTCCCTCTTTTTCTCCCTCTTTTTCTCCCTCCTCTCTGTCTCTCTGTCCCTTTCCTTCTCTGCCCCTGTGCATCTCAGCACTAATCAGGACAATCACCCTCAGCTGCAACTCCAGACTCACCTGCACACTATCACCACTGCTCCTATAAAGACTCGGTTCATTCCACCACACTCTGCCGGACCATAGACATTACATTTGCATGTTTCTGCCAGTCTCCACTTCACCTCTACTTGAATTGCCCTGAGCTTGTTGTCCCCCTTTGAGAGTATTCCTGTTTTTTTGTAACTTAGAATCCATTAGGTTTGTTTCCCCTCTGTTCTTAGTTGGAGTTTTCTCTGGTTTTTGTAGTTTCGTTCATTTTTGAATTCAGTCTGGTTTGTTTCGTTTTGTTTCCCACTCTGTTTAGTCTGCACTCTTGTGTTAGTTTTCAGTTTTGTTTCTGTGTCTGTGTCTGCTCCTGGGTTCCCCGATTGCCCCCCGTGACAAGGCCAGACACACCAGGCAGGACTTCACAGCCTTCAGTTTGGTTTCAGTGCAGACGTCACACAGAACTTCTGCTGCTTTTGCAGCTTGTTGCTCTGAGCTGCTGCTGGCTTCCTTTAATTGTTTATTCATAACTCTAAAGCTGAGTTGCGTCAGACTGCACAGGTTTGTCCTGTAGGTCTGTTGTATTTGCAACTGAGTCTTAACAATCAGACATGCTAAATGATGAATGCCGAACCCCCCTACAGTCAGACAGGTAGAGGTGAAAAGCTAGAACAGCAGACTCAAGCTGTACACTGAGGAGGATCTGGGCAAGAAGAAATCACTGACTAACACTAAAGCAAACCTTCAGAGCCTATAGAAGAGGCCTGCAAATGAATCATCCTTTCAGTCACGTGTACATACACTTTTTCTTAAAGGATGATTTGCACAAGGCACTGTTCAACATTTATGATGTGTATAACAGGCTTTTCACTTGCTCTGCAGGTTTTCAGGTTTTAACTGAATTTCCCTTCTGGGATGAATAAAGTATTTTTCATTTCATTTCATTTCATTTCATTTCATTCATTCAACTCAGTGAAACCTTAACATGAAGAAACTGCTGTGAAAGTGCTGCCGTGCTGTGGCCGTCTGAAGTCACTGCAGTGGAGCTCTGACTCCTCCGTTTATTGTGGAACAAAATGGGAAGATAATACATCCTGTTGCAGCATCAACTCTGCACATCAATTTCCTTGGATTGGTTTTATATTTAGCTGTCTGTGATAGCAGACTGCTGCTGCTAGATAATTAAATATACAGGATGTTATGTGATTTACTCGACCCAGAATGATTCTCTACTTTCTAATTCTCTACTTTTAATCATCTGTGGTAGTGTCTTTATTTCACTTTCATTTCCTGAGTGTGATTCTGCCACATTTTGCTTCTTCCAGTGTTGCAGCGCCTCTCACTGCCCTCACATGAGGATTTTTATTGATTATAGGAACATCATCCAGCTCAGAATCAAATGGGAGAGAGCAAAATGGAAGGAAAGCGACCATCAGGCCCTCACAGCTTACAGTTCCTCAGATGCACATGCAGGACGGCAGTTAATGTTGAATTCAATGTAATCCAATTCAGTTTTATTCATATAGCTGAAATTCACAACATAGATCATCCTAAGGCACACTTGTCCACAACTACACCATTTGTTGTTGTGAGGGAAATGTTTCATAAACTACTCATGTTACATGCTTAGTTTATCCTTTGCCTGTGTAAGACATGAACTGCTCATGGAACAATTCTACAGTTTCATTCAGCAGACGCTTTTATCCAAAGCGACGTACATCTGAGAGCAGATACGACACAAGCAAGGATCTAGTCAGGAGAAAACAACCTGGATAAGTGCCACAGAACAACTTCAAGTGTGACAGGGCGTTGGTGCCAACAGCAGGCAGTGTGGGAGGCAATAGGAAAGATTTTTTTTATTTTTTTCAGTCTGTCAAGTACAAAGGTGTTCAGCAAAGAGCTCACTGCAATCATCCTGGCCTTTAACCTGCATCCTGCATCTGTTTGCAAGTATTTGTTCGACATCAGAAATTTCTAAGTTGTCTAAGAAATAATTTCAGACATCACGGTATGACAGACAATCAGCCACGATGATGTCCTGGACGGACATGTCCAACAACACGATCTTGTCTCCCAAAATGTCCACTAACATCACCAAGCCCTTTGCTGCAGGTGCACAGTAAAAACACTGGGACCAGTGGGAGCGGGTGAGGTGCATGTTAGAGTCATGTGTGGGAAGAGGAGGAAAGTCTGACAACATCCAGTGAGTGGATGGGGTTTGACGGCAGGCAGGGGTGAAACAGGGAACACAGCACAAGACAGTAACCCTCTGTTCTTACCAGAGCAATCCAAAACGTCCAATCCAAGCTGGGTGGGTAGAGGTGGTTTGGAAGTGGGATTCAAGGAGCACAGAATACCCAGTGACTGGAAAACATGTATTGGACCTCAGGCAGTCGGCCTGAGGCAGACAGGGGCAGCTCGTCTGGAGGAAGAAGAGGAGACCATTAGTTCAGAGGAGCCTCAGTCAAAACTCCTCAGCAGGCTTGTTGAGGACCAGTGTGTGGGGAACCATGCAGATCAACAGACTTTGGTGATAACATTCCTTCAAGCAGTTCATAAGCTGCATTCTTTTGTCTGTTGTGCTCTTAATGACTGAATGTAGGTTTTCCAAAAATATATCGTTTACTACCCCAACCTTCTCCCACAAGAACAGCATAATAGGTGAGCAGACAGTAACTGGAAACAGCCAGAGTTAGTTCACTACAGCTGATGGTTGATTTGGAAAAGATAACTTTGAAGTAGTTTAGCATAAAGAGCAGCATTTTAAGGTGGCTGCAACCATCCATCCATCATCTAGACACCGCTTCATCCTCACTAGGGTCATGGGGGGCTGGAGTCTATCCCAGCTGACTCAGGGTGAAGGCAGGTTCACCTGGACAGGTCACCAGTCTATCACAGGGCTACACTTAGAGACAGACAACCAAGCACACTCACATTCACACCTACGGACAATTTACAATCACCAATTAACCTCAACATGTTTCTGGACTGTGGGAGGAAGCCGGAGAACCCGGAGAGAACCCACGCTGCACGGGGAGAACATGGAGACTCCACGCAGAAAGATCCCAGGTGTCCTCACCGGGACACGAACCGGCGACCTTCTAGCTGCGAGGCAAAAGCCCTAACCAACTGCGCCACCTTGCAGCGCTGGCTGCAACCAAACAGGCCTTATCTCAGCTTACATCACTGGATCAGATCCAAATGTGATTGCGGGCATTTCAGAAGCGGTTCATCATAGATTACTGTAAAACTGTTGCTATTCATTTAGTACATTTGTCGTGTCTTAAGTCAATGCATCGTATACAAGTG